CTGTAAGTACGTTTTTTATATTTAAAGAATTTGCCACTGACGATTCAAATGCAAGTTTTGAGCAGTGTAGAATAGCACTTGCCGTTTGTCATTTCTCCGATCACAAATGCAGACACGGTTTTATGTTTACGTGGCGCGATGCAACGCAACGCGTAATAAGATAGTATAAGTCATTATAATCCGTAATTATGTCCCCACTGGATGCAACAAATGCCTCGTTTATAATGGGTTATGTTTTTGTCTCGTCGCTCCAGCCGGACAGGACATCACAATATGGTAAGGGGCGTAACATTTCTGTCACACACTTGAGGTATTCGGCCAATCACAACGCACTGGATAGCTGGCCAATCAGAGCACACCTCGCTTTTCAGACCGATGAGCTTTGTAAAAATCTACGCGTTTCAGAAAGGTGGGGCATAGACGAGAAACAATAATGTACAGAATGTGGAAAATGTGTTTTTTTAACCTTAAACTGCATAAACATTTCATTACACCAAATACACAAAATAATGTTATTTTTAGCAGCATCATATGACCCCTTTAATTAAAGGGCTAATTTACGTATTCATAGATCCACGTATAGTAAATGAGGCAAGGGTGTAGAGTTGCATTCAAGCTATTTTAAGGCATGAGAAAATTATTTTCACTAGAAGAAACATTTAAATATATCATTTTGATGATCAAAGATGAGTTTTAAAGGATAACATTTTTGACAACAGGGGGACTTTAAGAACTTTATAAGGCCTTAATTTGTGGATGGGAAATCAATACTTCAAGACCCGTAGAAACTCTGCTTATATTATAACATCCAACTTACGCCCTTGCTCACAGGAGACCCAGCATATGTTTCATACAGCCCAAATTCTGCAGCCAGCTCACAGCTGGACTCCAGCGCAGCGTAGTAGATGGTCTCAAAGATCTGTGTGTTGAGGAGTTGAGCCTCTGCGCTCTCAAAGGGGAAACGCATGAGGATAAAGGCATCAGCCAGACCCTGAACGCCGATACCGATGGGCCTGTGACGCTTGTTAGAGTTCTCTGCCTGTTGTGTGAGAGAGAAGATCAGTCTCTACAGCAATTACATTAATGTAGGATGGCTGAAGGGGGAAACAAAACAGCGCTTCACCTCTTGCACTGGGTAGTAGTTGATATCGATGATTTTGTTCAGGTTCTTCACAATGACTTTTGTAACAGAGGCCAGCTTCTGGAAGTCAAAAGTTCGCTCTGGGGTGACGTACATGTTAAGAGCAATGGATGCCAGGTTGCAAACAGCCACCTACAAGGGAGAGTACAGTCCTCCATGAAAGCACTTTCAAATGAAGTCAACATGGCATGTGACTGACAATAAGTTACATTATTATACTTCATGTATGTATTCTGCACTCCTTACCTCATCCTTACTGGTGTACTCTACAATTTCTGTGCACAAGTTACTGCATTTAATGGTGCCCAGGTTCTGCTGGTTGCTTTTGCGGTTGCAGGCATCCTTGTAAAGCATGTAGGGTGTGCCGGTCTCTGTCTGAGACTCAATGATGGCATACCACAGCTGCTGAGCCTTCACCACACGCTTAGCTCTGCCCTCCTGCTCATATCTGGAACAAAAGATCAATGAATGGGATTATTAAACAGTAATATTAATAGACTTCTATAGTCAGTTTTATAGTAGAAGCATTACTACTATTTTCATACTTTATGTAGAGCTTCTCAAATTCCTCTCCCCAGCACTCATCCAGCCCGGGACAGTCACTGGGGCACATCAGAGACCAGTCCTACATGGGATATGAGTCACAAATGAGTTTGCTTAAAACTAAATTTGCATTTGAACTAAACTCTCATCTTTCAAAGGAAATAAATATACAACCATAAACAACTATGCAACCATTCAAAAGTTTGGGGAATTTATAATGTATATATTTGCATTTATTTGATCAAAAATAAAGTAAAAACATTAATATCCTGAAATATTCCCACCATTTAAAAAAAATAAAATTCTATACGAATATATTTTAAAACGGGTCGGCAACCTTTTTGGCATGAAGTGCCATTTTTAATTTTTCTGGTTAACCACTGTGCCAATAATGGCCATATTTGAGAAAAAAAAAGTAGAGTAGTTTGCATCACTAGATACAGCTGTCAGTCACTTATCAATTCTATCGTAAAACACTTGACTGACATTAAATGATTTGCATTTTGCAAATTTCCATCTCACCTCTCTTTTTCAACATTAAACTGATGCTTCGCACTGGAATTCACATTCTGCTTCTGTGAACAGTAACCCCCGGCCTATTTTGATTTCATTGCCCATCTCAATTATTTTGGCATTGACAACATAAGATTTGATACATCTCAAATATTTTTTTGTATAGTTTATAGTGTGCTCAATATTTGTGGGTATACTGAAAGGCAGTTCTTTATGGACTGTTTATTTAAAGGAGAGGTCTAATGCTATTTTTCATGCATTCTGACTTATTTACACAGCTAAAGAGTGGGACTCTCATGCTAAACATGGCCAAAGTTTCAAAAAATGAGTACGTATGACGGATTGTTTCTGTGCCAAATACACTCCTTCAGGGTTCGTATTGGTATCAGAAAGTTTTTCTTTTCCGAGTATGGCCCTGTATGACATCATAAAGGGCGGAATTCCTTGTATGGGCACTTCTCCAGGAGGAGGGAATGCACACATCCACCAGAGCGAGAGCCAGAGCGCTGTAGGCAGCGCTGCACAGGACTTGCCACTTTGTTTTTAGACAAAGAAATCAACAATGTTACCAAAGAGGTGAGCAAAGAGGTGTTTTTCATTGTGAGGGAAAGATGACCTTGTTCAGCTTCCCAAAAAACCCAGTGTTAAGGGAACAGTGGATGCAGTTGTTTTCTCTGGGGCAGCAACGGAGTTGTGCAAGTGTGTTTATTTGTTCCCGGCATTTCGGTGACAAATGCAGATGATTGCTACTCAAAAACTTTGCATGCTTGTGACTCTTTAACTCTGCCCACAGCAAGCCTCCAGGAGAGAAGTGGCACAGCTGTATCTGTCTTTATTAATCTGATAAAACTAAAGACTCTTCGGTGATATGCAGGATGCAATACTACTCTATAGGCACATGACATTGGCGGAATATTACTAGGGTGTTGGCTATTCTAACAGACCTCTCACGGGTCTACCGTTTGATGAATAACTGTAATAGCAACTAGGCCAGGGGTTTTTAAACTGGGGTTTAGAGGGGGAAAAAAAAGTAGAAAAAGGATTAAACTTAAATGAGTACAATCAATAAATTAGCTTAAAACAAAATTAAATAAAAACAGATGAAACTGATAAAAGCATTTAAAAAAATGTTGCACAAGGATGATTATATTTGGGGGGCCCGTGGCATCTAAAAGCCTGAAACCTCTAGACAAGGCAACAGCTGCGTTTCCATCCACCTATTTTTATGCACATTTTGGAATATCGCATAAAAAAAAAAACCGCTGGATGGAAACGCCAAGATGTGAAAAAAATAAAATAAAAATGTGCATAAACTACAATGGAAACACATTTACTGAATAAATTCCTCCATGCGCATCGAAAAAGTAATGACTTTGCGCTATGAGACGGGATAACCTGACTAGCAGCAGACTGATCTCGTTCACAGCATCTATATGTTGTTTTGGTCATTCTGAAAT